ATGTCCAATTCTTTGCATAGTTGAAATCATAGTGTAAATGATAGTAATCTTTCTATCCCATATTTCATCCCATAGTCATAGAATCAGGGGGTAGAGCTGCCACCATAAGGCTGTGTTCAGGCAAGAATGAAGAAACCTCCCCCAACCCACCAAGGGTCAATTCAGTGACCAATCAGGGTTACAGATGTGACCACATGACATATACTACATTTCCCAGGATACCTTAACTACATTTATCATGATGCATTCCCTTAAGGGGACAGCTCTCAATTCCTAACTAATTATCCCAAATCCCATTAACTATAAACTGTCTGGAGAGCACAAGGCTCCTCAAGTGAAGGCGAAATGCTGATGCCACACAAATGCAAGTAGTGTGATGCTCCCGCACCTTTCAGCCACCTCCATCACTGCTTTGGCCTGCCTGTGCCGCCCCCACCCCTCTTGCCACAACAGCACCATTACCTCATCCTGATCGGCGAGGGCTGCGCTGCTTTTTGCACGTTGCACCACTCACAAATTTGCATATTACATGTGCCACCCCCTACGGCAGAGATTTCCAACCCCACCATGGACCGGTCCCATATTCCAGAGCTGCAGTAGTCACAAGACTGGCCCTTTGGTCATCCCAGAGCAGCTCATCCATGGTATGCCAGTGCACAGGCCAGTCCTGTGACTACCAAAGCTCTGGAATATGGACTTTCCCACCAATGTCAGCAAGCCACCATCAGTCAAAATTCATATTAGTGGTCTGCAGGATTGAAAATTATGAGTTTGGTGGTCCCTGAGATCCAAAAGTTTGGCGACCCCTGGTATAGAGAGTTAAAACTATTCTTAATTATTATTATTATTGAATTAAGAAGTAAATAACCATATTAAAATGAATGTTTTCTCTTGTCATATTAACTTGCTCTGTGAGATACAATTAGTTCAGGCCATGGCTGAATTACAGAACACATTTTCTCAATGAGAAATCAAGCCTTCTTTTATGTGTAATATTTGATATTTATTGTCAACAAACAAATGAGTTTTGTGCCTCATCTGAGGAATCTGTTTTCTATATTTCATTACTACAGAATCACAGATTTCATGTGATTTATACTAAACAGTTTATACTAAGAAACAGTCTGTGACAGAGATGGTCTGAAGTTCTATAGATCTAAGAAAATTGTATTACACCAATGCACTTTGTGTGGAATTCCCCTTGAAAGTAGCTTGCATGCCCCAGTGGTCAGGAACGCTATAGCTGATGCAACTGACTCTGAACTGGTTATATAGCTCTTTCAAGAGCATTATATTAGATATCAGATGCAACATCTTATCTATCAGTCTTGGAAGAGTGCTCTTTTGATTATGTTCCATTAGCAAGGAATTTGTTTTTGCTCATCTAAGAGAGTACATTGCTGTATTAAAGAATGATGTACACTGACTTTACCCCTGTTCAGATATGACCACTAGAACATCTGTAAGCTTTCAAGCCCAGCTGAAAATACATTTGTTCATCTACAATAATGGTGAACCTTTTAGGCATCGAGTGCCCAAAGTATAGGCATGTGCACATATATCCAAAATGCAAGGCCTGCATTGCCCTGCATGCATTCATGTGCCCCCGTGCATGTGCCCTGCCACCTGTATGTGCAGCAGAGACTCAAAGACAAACTAGCCGATGGGAGGCACGCACGCATGTGTGGTAAAGCTGAACTGGGGCAAAGGTACGTGTGCCCACAGAGAGTGCTCTCTGTGCCATAGGTTTGCCATCACTGATCTAGGCATTTAATAGAAGACATATAGTACTTTTTTTTGCCTTCTCTTATTCTTGTCTTGATTTTAAAAATTCTGTTATTTGTTTATTAATTTTGTATTATTTCAATGTGTTTATTTACAAGTATTTTTATACCATTCAATACAACAAGACTCCTGGATATTTACCAAAAACCCTAAAATAATGTAAATAAAATAGGTCATTTCTTTAGCCCAAGGGTGGGCAAACTATGACCCGGGGGCCACATCCGGCCCGTTGGTCTTTTTAATCCGGCCCACTGAAGATTGGTACAGAATTAAGGTTTGATGTGAATGATTGAATGATTGCATTCATTTTATTTTGACTTGTAATGACAGGCATTTCGACACCAGGTGGCAGCCCATCCGTCAAATTTTAAAAGTCAATGAGGCCCCCGAGCCAAAAAGTTTGCCCACCCCTGCTCTAGCCAATGGACAGAAATACATTTTTGGGGAGTAAGTTGAGTAAATAAGTAACTTTAGGATCATACCAAGAAAATGGTTTCTAAACAGCATCAGATCTTTTACCAAAAAGTAAAAAGTAAAAAAAACTTTTACTTTTTATTCTGTTTTTGTAAATGCCTCCTAATAATATATGTATTTTCTGCTTGCCTGTTTAGTAAAAATGACAAATGAGACATAACTGCATCTAGAACATGGTTCCTCAGTAGTAACTGACTCTGAGTTAAATTAAATAAATAAGTGAATGGTACTATCTGGGGAGAGGAAGGGATGAAGAACATAATTTGTTTACGCTCATTGATTCTGGCATCTCCTGAGACAATTTGGAAAACATCATCTGAAAACCTGGTGAAAAGTTGTCAATTGAAGATGAAACATTACATGGATAGACTGTTTCCTATCTTGGGTTAAATATAGTTTCCAAACAAACATTGGTAATAGGCATAATTTTATTTATTTTGTTAAAGTAATTTTTTCCCCATTCCAGCTTTTTCCTTTATCACAGTTTTATAACATAACATTCATTTTCAGATAAGATACACATTTTTTTTAAAAAAAATCATGTTTAGAAAACTTTGGTACTCTTATTTGATAATGGACAGCTTCATATGTTTTGCAAGAAAATACCATTTTATTGTACCTATCATTTTTGCATTTTTAGAAAACAATATATGAACACCTACCAAAGTGAGGACAAAGTAAAAATATCATATAATTTTTCTATAAATACTCATATGAGCCAGAGAAATCTGAAGCAAGAAATGCTCAGTCCAATGGCTCATAAACATGGATCCATACTAATATTAAAAACCAATCACATATTGATTATTTCATTTTCAGTATATATGATGCATGGTCCAACTTTTCCTTTTAATGTTGAAATGCATTCATAAACTTAGTTTTACTTTTAACATCATGCTAAATCAGTTGTTTGGAGACACACATTAATTGGATTGTGGGAGGAATCTTTAAGCTTTCTGAGCTAATTACACAATCCAGCGACTGTCATTCTTTCTCTTTCTTCTTCTGTGCTTATCTATACTCCATCACATAGGCTAGAGCTCAGCTCAGCTGACAAGTATTTCAGAAAATCTATTGAAAGAGAAGTAGCTTCAGCTTTTCAACATTTTTGAGTAGAAACAGACTTTCATGAAAAAGTTGTATAGTGGTAATTGAGAGTTTAGTCCTAGGTTAAAAAATGTAAGAAAATGTATTTTGACAGAATCAGGATTTGAAGAATAAATTTAACTTACATTATATAAGTCACATTGCTCACAAAAACATGTATAATAAACAGGGGTGGGATTCAAATTTTTTAACAACATGTTCTGGGGGCGTGGCTTAGGTGGTGGGCGTGGCTTGATGGTCATGTGACTGGGTGGACATGGCTTGGTGGTCATATTATTGGCTGGGCGTGGCCAACTCAATATCACTCACATCGAGGCATGCATCTCCTCGCCTGGCCTCTCATGACTGTGGGGATGCTGCAACAGTTGTAAGTGTGAAAAATGGTCATAAGTCACTTTTTTCAGTGCCATTGTAACTTTGAATGGTCACTCCACACAAGCAAAGTACCAGCAAAGGAGGGGGAAAAACTCCAGAGTCATTCCTGAGACAGGAAGTCTAGTCCTGCCAAGAATGTAATAAGGGTTAACGGAGAGGCAGTTTCTGTAAGCAATGCCAGAATGTTTCCTTCCTGCCTTCCTTACAGGATTAGGCCAGTAATTTATTTTAACAACTGGTTCTCCAAACTGCTTAGAATGGTTCTAGCAAATAGGTGCGAACTGGTAGAATCCCACCCCTGATTATAAATATGCCTTCTTTGATAGAGCAGATCCTGTAACCTTTGTGGCACTTCTAAGTTTGACCAAAGCAAACTAGTGGGCAGCAAAGTTATATTTATATACAATATACATTTTCAGCATGATAAGGAAATATTCAGTGGTGGGATTCAATTTTTTTACTACCAGTTCTGTGGGCGTGGCTTAGTGGGCATGACAGGGGAAGGATACTGTAAAATCTCCAGTCAGAGGAGGTATTTGCCGGTTCTCTGAACTACTCAAAATTTCCACTACCAGTTCTCCAGAACTGGTCAGAACCTGCTGAATATCACCTCTGGAAATATTGCTGAACTATTTGACTATAGCTCTCAAAATATATTGATCTGCTAACCAACCACACAATTGCCTACTTTCATTTATTATGGCATGATATAAAATGATAAGTTAGATAGATAGAATATATTATTATAACATAATTATTATAATTTATATTGCTAGTGAGATAAATTTAAACTGTTGCAGGATTTTTTTTTTATAATGAAACAAAAGAAAAAACATTTAAAAACAATTAATGTGATGCATACATCCCGACACACCTGCTTATCTTATATTATCAAATAACACATATAACAAAAAATACAAATTTACATATATACATAAACTTTAGTCATCATTAATACATTTATTTATTTCTTTTTTTTAACCAGCGGTAAAACTTCTCCCAAGTTTTGTAATAGTCAGATTCAGTCTTATTTTTTAATTCTTGAGTTACTCTATCCATTTCAGCACACGTCCAAATTTTCCTAATTATTTCATCTCATCTGGCATATCATTACCTTTCCATCTTTGGGCAAGGGCTAACCTTTCAACAGTGGTGACATGGACTATTAAATATGTTATCTCTTTATTATATTTTCCCACAATGATTCCCAGTAGAAAGATTTCAGGTCTAAATTCTAATTCTAATTCTAATTCATTTTAATTTTATACATCTCTTCTAACCAATTTCTAATTTTCAACCAATATGTTTGGGCTTTTGCGCATTTCCACCATAAATGATAATATGTTCTAATTTCTTTATTGAATTTCCAACATTTAGGGGATAATTTTGGATACATTCTTGCTAATTCTGATGGTGTGATATATTCCATCGATAAAACATTTTGTGTAAATTTTCTTCACACGATGCCACCTATTAAGTATGGGAAATAAGAGGCTGAACCAGGGCTAGTGCAACAAGGTTTATTTACAAGGACTGAACGTGCTTGCTCAGCCTGGAACTGGCTCGCAGCGAACAGCGAAAGGGCTGGACCCAGCAGCCTGCTTTTATAGCAGGCTGCTGGGGAAACCCAGCCAATGAGAAGGGGCAGCCGCCCCTGCAGCGAGAACGGACCTGGGTGGAAACTTCTTCAAGGTCCAGGGACATAACACCCCTTCCCCCCAGATGCGAACACGCATAGTCCTTGAGGTATACGGGAGGTTTGTGCTGACGTCCAGAGCGGCGCAACTCTGGTGTGCTGTTTGGTGGATCAGAGTCCGTCGGTGACTGTTGGCTCGATGATGAGTCCTGAGTACCACCCTCGGTCGGAGCAGGTCCGGGGCTAGAAGGGCTGGACGCTGGGAGTGTCCTCACGCCGTCTGGCTCGGATGGGTTGGACGCTAGGTCGCCGCAGTCAGCATTTGGATTCTCTGGTCCGGCTGAAGGTGTTAGCAGGTCATCGGGGCAGATGTTGCTGTGTGGTAGTTGCAGCGGACTCTCACCAGTCTGTGCCCACGAGTCGCGGCTGACGAGGGTGCCCTGGCGTCTCCGAAGCTGGTCCAGATGTCGTCTCCAGACCCGGCCATCTTCCAGCTTAACCCGGTATGATCTGGGTCCTGTGATGGCTACAATTTCTCCCGGGATCCACAATGGGTCGCCAGCGAAGTTTCTCGCGAACACGGGTTCCTGCAAGACAAAATGCCTACTCCCCGATGTGGAAGCGAGAGGAGAGTCAGGGCAGTAATGTGGGTGAAGCCTGTCCAATACAGTTCGCAGGCGTCTGCCCATCAGAAGCTCGGCCGGGGACTTGTTGGTTACCGTGCAAGGGGTTGAATGCTGGCTTAACAGGAAACAGGATAGTCTGTGGTGCCAGTCATCCTTGTTGAACCTGGCCAGGGCTTCTTTAGTGGTCCTAACGGCTCTTTCTGCCAGCCCGTTACTGGCAGGATGAAAGGGGGCCGTGAAGATGTGACGAATGCCCAGGTTGGCCGTAAAACGACTGAATTCGGTTGACGCGAATTGGGGACCATTGTCGGAAACAATGGAGTCTGGTAGACCGTGCGTAACGAACAGGCGAGTCAATGCCTTGATGACTGCTTGTGAAGTGGTCGTGGATAGTTGTGCCACATCAATCCACTTTGAGTAAGAGTCTACGACCACGAGGAGCATTTTGCCATGCAATGGGCCTGCGAGATCGATGTGAATCCTGGACCAGGGTGCGTTGGCACTTTCCCACTTGGTGGGGGTGGCAATTGGAGGGGATGGACGGGAAACCTGGCAGGGATGGCAGGAGCTTACCCATTTGTTGATGTCCTCGTCGAGGCCGGGCCACCAAATGTAGCTTCGCGCCAACGCCTTCATTCTGACGATGCCCGGGTGGCCCTCGTGCAACGCCTCCAGCACTCGGGTACGCAGAGATGTCGGGATGACCACTCGAGTGCCCCACAGCAGGCAGCCCTGTAAGCTCGATAGTTCCTGTAAGCGGGTCTTAAATGGAGTGAATTTAGCTTCAATGTCACTGCCCGGCCACCCCCTCCTCACCCAGTCCAGTACCTGGGCGATCGTTTTGTCCGCTTTGGATTTATTGGCAATATCAAGGGCAGTGATTGGGAGGTCCAGTTGGGTGACTTCAAAAATGGCGTTGACCGGGGCAGGGTCTTCAGCTGGGGCAGGCAGGGGGCAGCGTCTGAGGGCGTCTGCGTGGGACAATGTTTTACCTGGGCGGTGCACGAGTCTATACGAGTATGCTGCTAGGAAAAGGGTCCATCTGGTCATTCTGGGGGACAGGATTTGAGGGGTCTGCTTGTCACCTGCTAGTAACCCTAAGAGCGGTTTGTGGTCCGTGACTAGCTCGAAAAAGTGGCCAAAGAGAAATTCGTGAAATTTCTTCACCGCTGCAACAGCTGCCAAGGCTTCTTTATCGATCTGACTGTAATTGCGCTCTGTTGCAGAGAGCGTCCTGGAAAAAAAAGCGATAGGGGCCTCGGAGCCGTTGGGGAGCCTGTGGCTTAAGACTGCCCCAATTCCGAAGGGAGATGCGTCTGCTGCCAGTACTAATGGAAGGTTGGGGTCAAACTGGATAAGCACTGCCTCTGATGTGAGTAGCGACTTGACTGCGCGGAAAGCGGAGTCTTCTTTGTGTCCCCAATGCCAAACCGTTTTTTTATCCAGAAGTCTGTGGAGGGGTTCTGCCACAGAGGCTTTATGGGGCAGGAACGACGCGTAAAAGTTCAAGAGCCCCAAAAAGGCCTGCAGTTCCGCTTTGGAGGTTGGAGTGGGTGCCTCGTGTATTGCCTTAACCTTGGACTCCAGGGGGTGAATGCCTGAGGCGTCAATTTTATAACCCAGAAAGTCCACCTGTCTAGTGGCAATGGCACATTTTTCTTTTTTTAACTTGAGGCCATGCTGCCTGAACCTCTCTAGGACTGCTCGAACTCTCTGGAAGAGTTGGGGTCTGTTCCTGGCCGAGACTAAGATGTCATCGAAGTAGGGTACTACTCCAGGAAGGCCCTGTAAAATCCGCTCCATGAGGGATTGAAAAATGCCTGGGGCAACACTTACGCCAAACTGGAGACGCTTGCACCGGAAGGCACCCCTGTGGGTGACAATGGTCTGAAGTTCTGCCATTTGGTCATCAACAGGGAACTGTTGATATGCTTGAGACATGTCCAATTTGGCAAAGATGGTGCCAGGTTCAAAAGTATGTAATAAATGCTGAATGACAGGTACTGGATAAGCGCTAACTTGCAAGAATTTATTGATTGTGGTCTTGTAGTCTGAGCAAATTCTCAGGCTACCATCTTTTTTGAGGGGTGTGACAATGGGCGTCTCCCATTTGGCGAAGTCTGTAGGCTCCAGGATCCCTTGTTTTAGTAATTTATCTAATTCAAGGTCTAATTTAGGCCGAATGGCGAATGGAACTCTGCGAGGTTTTAACCGAATTGGGACTGCCTGGGGATCGACTGAAAATGAGATAGGGGTGCCGTTATAACACCCTAACTCATCACTGAATACGTCTGAGTAATCAGCAAACAGGGAGTCCGTGTCAGAGGTTGAGGTAGCATGGACTCCTGTTAGCCCTAAACCGAGGTGGGGAAACCAATCAAGTCCCAAAAGTGTAGGGAGGTTGCCGCTCACTACCACTAGAGGTAGGTGGCCCTTAAAGGTTCTAAAATTAACAAAAAACTTGCCTCTGCCGATTACAGGAATGGTCTTCCCCTGGTAGTCCTTTAGGCTAAGCTGGCACTTCTGGAGTCGGTTTCTTGATAGGCTGGGTTGAAGCTCCTTGAGGGTGTTCCAGGAAATAATGGAGAGCGCTGACCCCGTGTCAACCTCCATGTTGCAAGGTTTACCTTCTAATAAGACGGAAAGAGAGATTTTACTAATAGAATAGCAAGTGTGATTAGCGCAGAGGTGTGTGCGACAGTTTAATACTTGCCTTTGGGGCCCGGCATGTGCGAATGAAGATGCCCTTTGTGCTACGTTGTGTGAGGCTTGGCATACTCTTGCAATGTGCCCCTTCTTATGGCAGTTGTTGCAAGTGGCTCCTTTGAATTTGCATGTGGTCCTCAGGTGAGGTCCACCACAGGAAAGGCACAGGGTGATGTGCTTGGATGGCCCGGTGTTATCTTGTCTGGTTCCTGCCTGCGGGCGCCTGGCGTTTGTGAGGCGGTGAATGTCGGCCTCGTCACTTGGGTCTTCCTCGTTGACCACCTCTTCTGAGTGGACGGGAACTGCTGTTTGCTTGGTGACAGGACCTTGGATCTCGGTGGCTGAATGAGATGCCATCTCCTCTGCCAGGGCTACCTCGATGGCTTGAGCGAGGTTAAGGTCTTTTTTGGCGAGCAGCCGTCTTTGTAGGTGCAGGTCCTTGACCCCGCAGACCAGCTGGTCTAGGAGCATGTCATCAAGATAGCTGCCAAACCCACAATGGAGTGCTGCAGTCCTGAGAGCAGCCATGTACTGATTGATGCTCTCTTTGTCCCCCTGCTTCCTCATTCTGAAGGTGAAGCGTCTGGCAATCTGTGAAGGTCTAGGAGAATAGTGGTTAGTAAGGATTTCTAACAGTTCTGTCCAGGGGACATTCTTTAACTCACGTGGAGCCACAAGAGCTGTGGCTGTATCGAAGACGATGGCTCCACAGTAGGTCAGGAAATATGCTTTCTTTCGGTGTTCCCCTGCATCAGCCAATCCGATGGCATCGATGTAATGATTAAACCGATTCTTGTATGATTCCCACTTCTCCTCATCTGGCTTGAACGCTGGGAAGGCTGGATTGGAGTTCATGTTGTGGGTCTACTGGTTAACCTGTTGGATAAAATGCTTTCTCTCTGGGTAGCAGTAGAGGTTTAGTGCCTGTGCTAGGCAAGTGCTCTCTCTCTCTCTGGGGTAGCAGTAGAGGTTTAGTGCCTGTGCTAGGCAAGTGACTTCAGCTCTGGGGAAGTTTCGCAATTCCCTTCTCTCTCTCTGGGGATCAGAAGGTGTTTAGACTGCAACGGTCATTGGCAGCGTCTTTTGAAATTCGCGCCTGTGTGGGCGTTAGCGATTTCCTAATACAACGCTGTGTTGCATTTGAATGTGCTTCAGCTGACAGCTGTTTGAATTTCGCGCCTAAACGGCACGAGCGGCTGCGGCTCGCAGCGCTACACTTCCTCTGTAGCTTATGCTAACAAGCGGCTACAGGCGCTTCTCACTTTCACTAGCTTGTTTGCTGATCGCTTTCTCTCTGGGTTGCGATCAGCGTTTGCCCTTATTTTGGCTGATCGCTCTCTCTCTGGGCTGCGGATCAGCGTTTTAGTGATTCAGCGTTCGTTCTCATTTCGGGCTGATCGCTCTCTCTGGGTTGCGGTCAGCGTTTGCCCTTATTTTGGCTGATCGCTTTCTCTCTGGGCTGCGGATCAGCGTTTTAGTGATTCAGCGTTGCAGCTTGCCTCTGGTAGCCATCCCATCCTCGTCGCCAGTATTAAGTATGGGAAATAAGAGGCTGAACCAGGGCTAGTGCAACAAGGTTTATTTACAAGGACTGAACGTGCTTGCTCAGCCTGGAACTGGCTCGCAGCGAACAGCGAAAGGGCTGGACCCAGCAGCCTGCTTTTATAGCAGGCTGCTGGGGAAACCCAGCCAATGAGAAGGGGCAGCCGCCCCTGCAGCGAGAACGGACCTGGGTGGGAACTTCTTCAAGGTCCAGGGACATAACACCACCAAAGTTATTTTTTTGTTTCTATCCCTTAAGATTTGCCAATCATCCAAATTTATACCATATCCAAAATCTTTCATCCAGGCCAACATCGTTTCTTTTACTTTTTCCTCTTCCAATTTGCATTCCAATAATACTTTATAATTTTTTTAAATCAATTTCTCATCTGTTCCTAATAGTATTTTATCTAATTCTGTTTTCTGTCTACTGATTCCCCATTCTTTCATATCTTTGCTACACCTCGATTGTAATTACAAATAAGTCCACCATTCTATCTCAAAACCCAAATCCTTCAACTCCTGTCTTGTTTTTAATTCTCCCTTCTCATCTAATATATCCTCATATATAATGACCTCCCCTCGATGAAGTAGATGCGGATACATTAACGCTTCTAATGTGGATAACCAAGTTGGTATTTCAACGTAAATTTGTCATTTAGTTTTGTCCCATACATGTAGTAGAGCCTGCCTCATTTTATGCCTTTGAAAATAACCATGAATTTGTTGTTTATCTTGCCACAAAAAGGCATGCCACCCTGCCTGTAAATTATATCCTTCTAGTGTTAACATTCTTTTATTCTTGGCACTTATCCAATCTTTAACCCAAGTCAGAATAGCCACTCTGTAATACAATTCCCAGTCAGGTAGGCCAAATCCTCCTCTTTCAGTAGCATCCTGCAACAATTTTAGTTTGATTCTGGGCTTTTTTTTCTGCCATACAAATTGCAATACTAGCTGATCCAATTAATAAAAAAAATTCTCAAATTTTACAGGAGTATTTTGAAATAGAAACAATAATTTTGGTAGTGTGTTCATTTTTATGGAAGTGATTCTCCCCATAAAAGAAAGTCTTAAAGTATTCCATTTACCGTTGCAGGGATTATTTAAACAGCTTTCCCATAACTGAATCTTGCCCAACTCTTTCCTAAACAAATAGCTTAGAAAATGAATAACAGGAAAACAAAATGGATGGATAAAATAAACAATGTTGTTATCCAGTTGTTACACTCAGAACAAATTCAACAAATTTGATTTAATAGAGTTGCCAGTGAGACCAAACTGAAAAAGTTTGAAAATCTTATTAAGAAGTTATAGTGGCTCCTAAGGAAAAAGGAAGTGAAGATAGGCACCCTAGGATAATAAATAGAAATCTATATGTTTAATCTTAGTTTTAAAAGAAAAGTAGTCAGAAAAATTGGTTCAGCTAATTGATGATGCAAATTTAAAAGATTAATTCCTATTTTCTGATTGAGCAACCTACATTTATTTGTTATATGCTCCATAAAACAGCACCTAATGGAGACCACAATAATTCTTAAAATGTTTCCATACTGATCAATTATATCTATCTGGAAGATTAGACAAACAATTGAGCTAACTGAAGTCCTATAAATTCCCTGATAGTGATTGCATTCCCTGAGATTTTTTAAAAATAATACTGATCATTGGAACCCAATTCTGATAGCACTTTCAGATATATTGATAATATCACTTATATCCCAGAACAATTTCGAGAAAAAAGCAAGACAAAAATATGTTGATTATTGTCCAGGAAGTTTCCTGAATATAATACAGAAATTATATTATTTTTGAAAAGAGATGAAAAGAGATGGTGTATTATTTTTGAAGAGATTAAAGAGCTCAATTATAGCATCGAAGACATGGCCAGGTGCTGACTGTGAAACAAATCATGAACTGCTCATGGACAATGTCCATATTAAGCTAAGACTCAGCTCTAATTCTGAGAAGGGTAGAAAGGAAGAGGCTGACCAACAGCAAGGTGGATGGACTCAGTCATAGAAAGAACTGGCTATAGATTGTCTTGAGAATATCTATGTTTTGAAAATAACTTGATGACAGATAATAAATTCATCAACCAAACAATCAAAGATTTACTTTATGTAGTTTTTGTAGACCTTAAATTTATTTTTGATTCTAAACACAGAGATATTGATTGAAGTAAATTGCACTTACCTTCTTCTCTCCCTGCTTCATCATGTGCCCATCTTTTATTCTTATATCACTGAATTATTGTTTTCTTTTTCATTGATGATTCTATTGTTCAGCTACCTTTCTATTGTTATGTTTACATTTCTTTTCATTTCTCCTTTTTAATTGTTGTCAGCCACTTAGAGCAGCCCTAATTTATTTGTGTGGCAAATAAATTTAACAAATAAATAAAATGAATTAACAAATAAGAAGTACTGCCCACTAATATTACTAAATGGCAGCTACTAATGACATATAAACTTTTATGCAACACAAACATAAGAGTAAAATGTGGAGAAGGCGGAGCCACGTTGCTGCGATACAGCTGCAATCTTGGGGCTCTGAGATTGCAGCTGATATCTTCGCCCCTGGTCGGTTCTAATGGACCTAAACCGTCCCGTAAAGACAGTGATAGTAAGGGGTGCGTTCTGCTGATCCAAGGGACATCGCAAAGTCCCTGGCTGATCCAGAAGAAGCCCTTTTACCATCGGCGGAGAGGCAGCCTTTTGGCTGCTGAAGCTGTGACAGCTCCGAAAGGAAGAGGCTGAACGTGCATCGGCTGGTGAGAATTTTTTTTTTCTCGGGGACTCAAGGACACTCTAAAGTGGGAAGAATCCTGTAAGACTTTGGACAAAAACTGATGGAACTGATTTAGCGGCGATTTCTTAAAGAGAATGTCAAATTGAGGCTTGGCTTTTTACTTCTACTTTTGCTTTCATTGAACTTCCATTGTGATCTAGTAACTGTAACTAGACTGGTTTTTCCTTTTATATTCATCTAATTTTTCTTTCTTTTTTCCCCCTTTTTACTGTTAATAGTATTTTTTTTTTAGAATAGAGGCTCCCTTTAGTAATTTTTTTTTTAAATACATATATATATACATGTATATTTCCCTCTTTTTACTAGGCTTTTTTGGGAAAGAAGGGGGAGTGGATTAAAGAAACTTTGTAACACTGCCAACTAGAGGCTTGAAGATACTTTATTGAAAGTTGAAAGAGCTGTGAAGGAATCCTTTCTCAAGGACACTGGAACTTGATTAAATAGAGGGAAGAACACCGGAGAATGTTTTAACAGGTGTTCTTTGGAACTTCTATTATTGAGTACTTGAAGTTTGGCTTTGGAATTTGTGGAGAAGCCATAATAAGAGCCTTGGATAACTAAATAAGATGCAGTGTGCTTTCTTTCTTACCTTTCTTTAGCTGTTTCATCCCTCCTGCTCAACCCCACAGTATTTTGTAATATTTGTATATCTATTTTCTTTTTCTTTTGTTTGACTTTATTTTTAATTTTTAAACTTACTTTTTTTTTAAAGGGAAAGCCTCAGAATAGTTTTTCTTTTTCTTTTTGCTTATTGGGATTTTTGCCTTTTCTATTTTCTACTTTCATTTTTTATTTATTTTTATGGTTATTTTTTTTTATTTTTTGAGACCCTACAATTTGACTAGGGTGTGAAGAACCTGAAGAATTCTTTCTTTTTCCTTTTCTTTCTTTTTTTTTTTTGATCATTGCTTTTTAATATTATTGGGTCTTACTCTCTTTCTTTTTTACTATTCTTAATTTTTATTTTTGAATCATAATTGGCCATCTTACAATAGGATTAAGGTTTAGAAGAACCTGAAGAATCTCCTCCTTTTTTTCTTTTTAATCTTCTTTTTCTCCTTCTCTTTTTAATCCTGGACTCTTAATTTTTTATTGGCTTTTTTTTAAAAATGTTTTTCTTCTTCCCAATTGGATTATAATTGGCTACCCTATTGATTGGATTAAAGGAGCTTAAAGATCTTGAGTTATTCAAATGAGTAAGAAAACTTTACCTTCTGGCAGTTCAACTTCTGCTCCTGCTTCTCCATCAACTGGAGGACGACTATCAATAATGGCGAAGCAAGATAAAGTACAAATGGATCTAGCGACGATTATACAAGGAATACAAGAACTCAAAACAAGCATTGACCAAAGAACAGAGAGTATTGAACAAAGAATTGCAAAGACTGATGAAAAAATTGAAAACTTTCAACAGATGATGGCAAAACAGGAGGAGAGACTCCAAAAAATTGAGGAGAAAGATAAA